TGAGCTAGCCTTATATAGTAAGCTACTAGCCTATGTAAGCTAGACTCCTACTAAATATGGCTAGCTCAGCTTGATTGGCTTGATTGTTGACATCTCTGGGGTAGACACCTCCATCTGTAGCCGGCCTTTCCGTTGAAATACCGATTGCGTTGTGTGCGAATATACTCTGTTTTACGTCCGTAATTGTGCTGTTCCTGTTCTTGTTTTTATTCTGCTCGGCCGTGGGTGTGTTGTAGTATCCTGCTTCTCCCTCCTTGATCCGTATCTCAATCGGCTTGAACCATCGGAAGTAAACAATCGCCCATATGAAGAAGCCGAGGATGCCGCAGCCGCCCAGACCGCAGATCAGGCCGATAGTGGTAGGGGAGAGGGATGTGGCGATTCCAGGCGTCGGCGTGTTTGTGTGTTTTTCGATAGGACCGGTGTCAGTGTGAGCCGCTGCTGGTCGGACAATGTTTGCCATGGTTGCTGGGGATATCGTCACGACTTTAAAAGCAGCTGTAGACACGTAGTATTTGATTCCGAAGGTGCTTGTTGTGGCTGCGAGAGCGAGTGCCGGTGTCTAGGGATGGACGAAGTCTCAGAGATGAATAGTTACCAAACGTTTGTGGGCTGAAATTGGAGTACGCAAAAGTGAGAGTGAAGGCGACCTGTACGACCTTTCTCAATGTGAAGAATTTGCAATGCATCTAACATAGTCCTGTGTAGATGGGTATAGATAGATACCACGCTTGTGATGAATTAGTAAAACCGAGGGACATCACAACCACCTCAGAGACGGGGTTGACGTTGATGGCAGATCCTTGATTAGTCTGACGGGGCGACTTTAACGCTGTGGTATCAGGAAAGAAGTAAGGTAGGTAGGGCAAACAGATGGAGAATAGAAGTAGAGATTGCAGAAGAGGAACAAGCCAAGCAGTGGTCTCACCTCACTCTTCGTATGGGTATATTCTTTTCGCCTTGCTTGCAGGCGCATACTGCGTTCCTAAAGCCTTACTAATCGCTATTCTCTCAACGTCCAGCTCTTGTGCTTGGCCGCAAACTGTGATATGCCCTTGATCATCACATCACGTTGCATGCGCACATGCTCATCGTGCCTGCCTCGCACAGCCACCAGGAACGGTAGTCTTTTCATGCGTTATCCTAATTTCTTATGCCCCCGCCATCTCATTTTGCTTTGTTCTTCGCTGCCTCGGCCTCTCTCCTCGTCGCGTCCTCAAGCAGAGCGGTGTCCACAGCACCGGAGGGAAGGTGCACGTATCTTACGACGGAGCCGCGAATGAACATGTCTTTTGTCGAGCACTGTCACCAAATCAGCCTCAGTTGCTTCTTACAACGCCCGAAGCCTTGTCCGAGATATGCTACCTCGTCCTGAGCAGGGGAGAATCGCAATGTCCAAAACATACCAGATGCGGCCACCTCAGCTCATCCACAGCCTCGGCATTGTCTAGCTTGATGTTCAGGTATTGGTCCACGCTCTTGAGTGTGCCGCGGATCTGGACTTCGTTCTTGAGTTCGACGGTGATTTCGTGCTCGACGAGCGTTTTGAAGAAGCTATTGCGCTGCTGTTAGCACATGTGTGATGCTGGGCGTGGAATGGAAACGGACCTGAAGAAGAGCATTGTCTGGGTATAGAACACAAGCCTGTAGTAGGAGATGGCGTGTGTAGCTGGACTCGAGTTGTGTGGAGTATTGGACGCGGCTCTGGGTGTATATGGCAGAGTGACGAGGTTATGCGCAGCGCATGGACCGCGTGGGGTTCGCGCCGGCGCGAGCGAGGCTGATCTGCCGCCTCACCCCTCTGACCTCAGCACCACCATTATGTTTGATGCATAGAGACAATCAGACACTACAAGACGTGGTTCAAATATTTCCGACACTATCTTCGATTATTTACAAAAGAAATTCGCTATGTGGTATCAACCTAGTCCAGGCAAGTCCAGCCTATCCAACCCAATCTATCCTACGCCATCGTAACCACATCACATCATATCCTCTCCTCTCCATCACTTCCTCGCCCAGCCGTTCAATGTTCGCCATCCAGTATGGCCTTGTGCGCCCTCTTCCAGCACGTTGACAACACCTTCCAGTAGCTTCTCCTCATCCTTGCCCATCTCCATTTGCAACCTAAGCAACCACCTTTCCCATGCCCAGCTTCCTACTACACCCGTCAACATTGCCGCATCCATCGTAGTACCAAACACTGGTGCATCCTCGAGCTCAATTTCGCCGTCTTCTGTGATGCGACGCTCTTGATGCTTTGGCTCGGCGCCAACAGCAAGTGTGTCGCGCCAGTTTGCTGCCGTCTTGCCCATGGGAAGAAGCACCCACGCTCTTTGTACGTCCCTGAAGCCCGCTTTTGAGATGCGCGGGAGGAACGTCTTGGTGGGCTGCGCATCGTAGCCGCGTGTCTTGAGGTTGAAGCCGAACTCGACACTCATGGCTTGAGCATTGCGGCCGGCATGGACAACATCGGCATCCATGAGGCTGAAGTCAAGGATGCCACCAGGCTTGAGACAGCGGTAGCACTCCTTCAAGCACAGGTCGTATTCGTCTGATGACTTGCCGACGGGTTTGCTTGTCTTGAGAAGCTCGTATAGTGTACGCGCCGAGACGACATCGAAGTGACCAGAAGGGAAGGGGAGAGTCCACAGGTTAGGAACAGTGAGGTGCTTGTGGTTGTCTGGACCCTTGACGTTGGAAGACTTGTTGTTGCCAGCGGTGTAGACGGTAATCACCTTGGCGTAGGGGTAATCGTATGCAACATCCCATGCCCAATCATTGGTAGCAATACCACCAACATCGAGGACGCGCGGAGCGCTAGCGCGAGTGATGCATCGAACTGCAGGCTTGCTGAGGAGTTTGCCACCGTTGAGTTGCTTCTGGGCTTGTAAAACCCAATGAATAGGCAGCATCTGGTCGAGCGCTTGACGCTCCATCTGTGCACGTGCAATCCTCTCCTTTAAAACAGTCGGATCGTTGACGAAGAACTCAGAAACAGGACGCGGAGGCGCTGGGCGATCTGGCTGACAAAGCTCAAACTTGCCCAGGAGCTGATCGCGATGCGCCAAAGGACTGCAACGGCGTTGTACGTGCATGGCCTCAGCACGAGTCTGGCGGTGGATAAAAGTATCCTTCTTTTGGCACCGGGAACGAAGATACTCAAGGCCTTGGACGTAAGTGACGATAGGCTCATCAGTTGACTCCTTCACCGGAGACTTAGCAGGCTCATCCGCAAACTTGACCGACTTCTTGACCACGGCTTTCTCAACTGAGTTGCCGCGGCTGTGCGCGCCACTTGAGAGACTAGGAGAGCTCATGTCATTCATGTCTCTAAGAGCAGCCTGCAACTCGTCTTGTTCCTCTAACCACCGGCCAGTCATCTCAAGGTTAGCAGTACCTCCGGCATTATAGTTCTCATCGTATTGAAAAATCGTCTTGCTGGGGTTGATCTCTTTGATCTCAACGTTCTCATCTGTCGGGCTACTGAGAAGTACTGGGCGTGATGTCGACAAGGGCTCATCGAAACCGTCAAGAGTGGATCCGGCAAGGGTCGAGTTTCGCGGCGGAAGAGCTGGTACAGCTGGCACAGGGTGCGGAGAAGTGTTCCTTCGGCTCTCCTTCTCCCATGGAAGGTTGTAAAACCTCTCGGCAGTAGAGGTGTTCGGGATTGACTCTTGTCGCTTGGGAATACTCCAGGTGTGACGAGCGGTTGATTGAAGCGACGAGAAGAAACCACCGGGAGAAGGGACTGAGAGAGCGGAAATTGGTGTGCTACCAGAGGATCCATTTCCGAATATTGTTGACGGAATGCTCAAGCCAAGACTTGGTCGGGGTACTTCTTGCATCTCGCCTCTGGACTCAACCGGATGAGGCTGTTGTTGCTCAGGTTCCTGGTATTGCTCTGTCGATGGTGAATTGCCTAGGTGCTGAAGGGTCTCCATGGCCTGCAAGTCAAGTTGCACAGGGCCCCATGAGTCGGTACTGGAGATGGATCCACGTCTGCGTTGCGAGATTGGAGTGGCAGGGCAGCTGAGTTTATCCATCTCTTCTGATGTGAGGCTACCATCCAAAGAGGGGGCAGCTGAGTGCGCAGGAACATGAAGATTGTGCGAGTCGATCATGTCAAGGAAGCGACGAGAGGGGGTCAGAACCAGCGATGGAGTAACGGGCATCGCCGAGTTTGCACTCTTCAACTTCTCAATGGTCGGCCATGCGGATGGCGAAGGGATAACGATCGATGGGTAGCGTCTCTGCCTTGGCTGGGTCGCGAGCTTCTTGACCGACGCGGATGCATGAAGAGGTACCTCAGCCTCGTCATCGGTAATGTCGTAGAGGGAGTCGAAGTCGCTGTCAGCACGACTCGCCCGATTTACTGGGGGATATGTAGCCGAGTGAACAGGAAAGCGTGGCGATGGCTGCGGGGTCATATCGAATAAGCGTGCCTTGGGTGTAGGGAAGTCGTCAATACTAGAAGGCGATACAGCACTGGGCAGGTATGTCGAAGAGGTCGAATATCTTGGCTCGAAGTAGTAGGAGGATATTGTGGACTCGTCTTCGGGGGCATTAAGTGACTGTCTCTGGTCCAGCGGAGACAAGCCATGATGAGAGTTGGCCATTGTGCCAAGGCTCGCAGGATGGTATACTGCGGGCTCAAGCATCTCTGGCATGATGGTATATTGCGGTGACGTGAGCACCGCCGCGTGCTAGTATTACTAAAGATACCTTTGAAAATCCGAGTAGGCGGGAATGCGGCGAGGGTGGTAGGGATCCAAATACAGAAGTACAGGGAGCCGAATAGAAGCGATATTAAGATGAGCAAGAGCCCAAAACTGCGCTGGTCAACAGCTTACTGGTAAAAATGGAATTGCTTCGATCAACGAAGACTTAGCGGAAGAAGGGACTCGGAGAAGGGCTAGAAGTGAATGGCAGAAGGAGAATAGATGCGGCGCGAGCGCGATGGTCAGAGGATATATCATGCGTAGACGCCTACTCGTCGAGTGCCTCTGTGCTAGCGTTACTGTGGCATTCGTCCGAGCTACACTGCCAGTTGGCTGTCCACTCGCATAGAGAGCCGAGTCTAGGTGGAGAGGCGGTAGCGGCTCAAGGACGGCCACGACATGGCGAAGACGACGGACATGTCATGATTGGCCAACGCAAGTTTATGGCCAGCAAGGCCTCTACCCTGCGCTAGAAACTTTGGGCTAGAGAAACGTTGCGCTGCATGGCGTGGTTGGGTGTTTGGTATGTAAGCGCCGGGCTGTGCTATTTGCAGTGCTCGCGTTCTGCATGCGTGGCCAATGACAAGACGCAGCGGCGTTGTACTGCATACTCGCCCAATAGTGCCTCGTCGAAATCGATTTTTGTTGCGGGGCTAGATATTGTCTCACGGCCTTGGACCGTACGCGAGGCTGTGGTTGTGGCTGATCGAAAGGCTGTCATGTAGTCATCCCGCGCCATATGAGATGGAAAGACACGGCCGTAGTGCCGGAGCTCGTTGCGGCCGTGCAGCGAGTACAGACCCGCGACCCGCGATGCGGTTGTCGATCAGTCAGGCACAACAATAGCGCAGGTTTCATTCATTTTAGAGCATGGACGGCCCCATGTGGGAAACGCTGTTGATTCGAAACGTGCAGTGGTGAGTTGGGAGGTTTGCATGAACAAGAACAGAGGTGAGGCATGCCAAGCAGCAGCGGGGCATGGGTGGAGGGGCAGGCGTGACGCTGTTGATGCCGTCAACACCAAAAAGCTATCGTGAGCTCCGTCACACTAGCAATCTCCACATCCACCCAATACCTACCATTGGCGCTCCACCAAGTCACCTATACACACCGCACTCTCACTAGAACCGCCTGTCATGTCACCGCCTGCCATCATCGCGCCGTCGATTCTTTCGGCAGACTTCGGAGCGTTGGGCAAGGCATGTTCCGACACAATCTCCCAAGGCGCCGACTGGCTTCACGTACGCGAGAGTGAGTTTCGGACTCTGGTGCACGCAACTGACACGTGCAGGTCGACATCATGGACGGCCATTTCGTGCCCAACATGACCTTTGGCGCGCCCGTCGTAACCAAGATCCGCTCACACGTCGATCGACCGACGACCGCACATGGCAAGGGAACGTTTGACTGCCACATGATGATTGCCGAGCCCAAGAGATGGGTGCGCGACTTCAAAAAGGCTGGCTGCGACCTGTACTGCTTCCACTACGAAGCCGCCGTCTCGTCAACCGCTGCAGACTCGCCCAGTGGCGAGTCGGACCAGAAGACATCCCCCAAGGAGCTGGTAAAGTTCATCCATAGCGAGGGCATGCAGGCCGGCATTGCCATCAAGCCAAGCACACCGGTCGACGTACTGTGGGAGATACTAGAGAACCCAAACAAGGACGAGGTTCCTGATGTGAGTTCATCACCCCTGCACCGTCATGCTTTCATCACCACAATCGATATCACCAAAGGGCCGCACGCGCTATATGGTGGTTAGAGAGGCCTCGGAAGTGGTCGAGCAAAGCGAGGCTGGGTAGGGCTGACCTTGTTGGGGCGTGGGCGGCACCCAGTGGCGGCGCTTAGGCATGCCAACTTCCGCAACGCCCGCTGTCAATCAGTCTTGACCTTGGCGCCCTTTCGAGAAGCCTGCCCCATGTTGCCCAACCGACTGTCCGTCCATTGGCCACCTGACCATCTGGCCATCCCCAAGGTTGCACGTCGACACCTACCCGCCCACGCCGCTGGCTGCTCCCGCAGGATCAATAACCTCGATATTCAAGACTTGCATCGGCTAGGTCAAATGCGTTGAAAATCCAGTGCTGACTTTTGCAGATGGTTTTAGTTATGACTGTAGAACCTGGCTTCGGTGGACAGTCTTTCATGGCATCCGAGCTGCCCAAGGTAACCGCCCTTCGCCAAAAGTACCCAGAGATGCACATCGAGGTCGACGGAGGCCTGAGCGAAAAGACTATCGATCAAGCCGCCGATGCCGGCGCTAATGTCATTGTTGCTGGCAGTGCTGTTTTCGGTGCTTCAGACCCTGGCGACGTGATCAAGAAGCTCAGGGAGGCAGTCGATGGCAGGAGAGGAAAACTATAGAAATACCAATGATCCGGACCAATGGTAAATGCTGACGATGAATGTGGATGAGCGTATGTACAAATAGAAGTATTAGAAGCTTACGATATAGGTGTAGAAAAAATAGACGACAGCTGAGAGCGGGAAATGGATACTCATCTGGCGCGAAATGCCGAGTGAACAAGCGGTGTTCAGCCATATCGAGTGGAAGTTCGCATCATATCTGCACAACTGCTGACATGCGTCGTCGCGATGTTACACAACATACCGGCTAAGTTCTACGCCCAAAACCAACTCCTAGCTCGTACATGGCTTAATGTCCACAAAGGTAGATGATTCGGCAGATGGCACTGACAAGGCTGGCCTTTTTTTCACCACATGATAGCCTGGTGAGAGTCAATACTGTAGGTTCTGATGTCTGAGTTCTGCTGCTAGCCATGCTAATTCTGACAAGGCGCAGCTCCCATCGCACAACGACCAGTAGCGCCGTGATCACTTGAATTATTGCTCTCGATGAAGATGAAAACTCGAGAACAACGTCACTTGGCCAAAATTGATTTTCGTCTCCTTTGCGTTGCTTGCCTTGAAGCTGCCACTCAAAAATGACAGCACGAGCCGCGTCATCAACCAGGTCTTGGCATTGTATCGAAACATGCTCCGCTAGAACGTTCTTCCGTCGCTATCGCGATATGGAGATGAAGTGCGGCTACGAGACAGCGGAAGTCATGTTTCAAACAAACAAGTCCATGGTACAGAACGTACCATGGCGGTCATTATGGGTCCCAGGGACCCATGCATCGCAAATACTAAGTTAAGCTTGAGCAGACAAGCCCCAGAGATTGAAAATTCCCGGCTTGTCGTGGACTACACATCATTGTTTGAATAGCACGGTACTCGTCTTCGGCCGGACTAAATTTGTGACCAAACAAATCATCCCAGCTGAGCAATGGGGCTTCTATGTGTGCTGATCTGCTCATGTTGCGTTCATCGAATGGAACGAACAATAGCTGGTAAGCTGGACAGTCGTCATCTAGTGCGAACACCGCCTAATGCTAAAAGTCAATGTTGAGCTATGGTACGTAAGCTCACGGGTCATTCCGCGTTTCACGTTGTCTAGGCCGCGCCATGGAACCAAACCACAGCGCTCACGAAGTGACATCCCTAGTCCACAAACGAACTAAACTGATTGACGGTTCTCCCTCAGATAACCCACTGTGAGAAGATCTTGAGCCAGGAGTCAAATGGCAGGCGTCAAGTAAATGACAACCCCCTTGACCTCGCAGCCACATACGCGGCTTAGGGTAATTCTGGACCAGAAGCATCTCAACGCTGCGTCATGGTATCCGAGCCGTGTCATGTTGTTGAAGTTCAGAGAGGAGCAACTTCAGTATAAAGATGTCCTGCGCTGCTTCTCTCATCAACCACCCAGCAACTTTCGTTCTCACTACTCGCACTTTTCTCTTCCCAGCTTCGTTTCAACAGCACTGTGTGCTTCCATTCACTTTACACTCATTAGCACCGCGTGCCTTCACTTCAACAAGCAGTGCACCGACACCACTACAGAACTCATCTTGCAATATACAAAATTTTCAAGATGGTCGCATTCTCCCGTCTCGCTTTTGCACTTGCCGTCACCGGTTTCAGCTGCGCTCAATCTTTCAACGGCGAACTCCCCAGCAACCTCCCCTCCGGCATGCCTCCTATGGGAACTGGAATGCCTTCTGGAGCTTTCCCCAGTGGCGCCGCTCAGCCATCCGACCACATGCATGGTGGACATGGCCATCGTGGACCTCGTCCCAGCGGTGTAGCTCAAGCTCAACACGCACATGATAGCAGAGTTCCTTTTGGTACTGGTATGCCTTCCGGCTTCCCGAGCGGTATGGCTCGCCCTACCGGCGGTATGCATGGCGGCCACGGCGGCCACGGTGGACATGGTAGCAAGTTGCCCGAGCCAACTGGATCCTTCTTCGCCGTTCCTACTGGCGTAGAGAAGCGTCAAGAGTCCGGAGAGCCCTCTGATATACCGTCTGGTTCTAAGCCTCCCCATGGTCCTCATTCCCGTCCTACTGGCATACCTTCCGGCGCCATGCCTCCTCATGGTGCTCGTCCTACAGGCGCCCGTCCCTCTGGAATGTCTCGTGGACCTCGTCCTTCTGGAGCTATGCCGACGTATGCTCCTCGCCCATCCGGCATTCCCACTGGTCCCGCTCCTAGCGGTTTCTCTACCTCGATCGTTCGTGCGTGAGCGAGTCCAAAGAGGGGAATATATTTGTGAGGTGATTCGACAGAGGATCGAGGCGCGCGCCGCGACAAAGTGAGGTGGTCAGTGTTGTCTTGTGGTCTGCTGTGGTTTCATTAAATCTTCTTGTTTAGTTTTTACGCTCGTTTACCTGTACATACATCACAAATAGAACGAACTTGTACAATTTGGTCTGGTTTTCATTCTCTATGCTAGACAAGCCAGAAATCTGAGAGCTGAAGACACGCAACCTGCACATTGCTTCGACTGGTTTCCATCAATCAGAAATCGCATTGATGTTAGGGAAACCTTGTTAAAACGCCCGTTTCTGATATTAATTCCCCAAATCGCCCATGTCACTCAATAGTGCCAGTAGTAGGCACAAGACTACGGTCCAACATCAAATCTGACACCGATCCCCAAACTAACATCCACGATCAGTGTGATACAGAGGACTGGCCAGGTAGGGTTGTGTCGTATTCGCCTGGTAGGAGTTTGTAGGCGCGCCTCTCCTCACGTTCATCTGCAGAGTCGATTTCTTCTTCTGATTCGTACTCATATTCATCAGATCCCGAATCTGATTCTTCTTCGACCTCAGTGTATGTTCTTAAGCGTCTGAGTGATTTTGGACTGGGCGCCCTCCTCGATTCGCGTATCCGGTCAGCATGCTCCCTAAACTCCTGATAACGACTATTACGCTCCGTTATTGGTGCGCTAGTGATTCCAGCCAGAGAAATACTGCTCGTGGGTTGTGTACGACGTGCTAGCTGGGTATTCAGAGGCGCAGCAAGCATCTGTCGACTTTGTTGTTCCTCAAGTTCTCTCTCGTCCTCATCTGTTGAGTCGTCGTAATCATTGAATTCAACCAGCGCTTCGTCACTGCTGTAGAAGGCATTGTCGAATGAATGGAAGTCCTCTTGTTCAAACAGCTCGTGTCGGCAGAGCGGGCACCGGTTGTTGTTTGGCATCCTACTTTCTGTCTGTTCGACGATGCAGTGGCCGCCGAATATGTGGCTGCATGGAAGCTCGACCGGTACATGACTGGCAAAGGCTCTGTCAGTATACTACGGTGGTGAAGACAGGCAACTTTGAAAGTGTTTCTTACTCGCTGTTGTAATCCTCGAGACAGATGCTGCATTTGATCGGCTGCAGTTTTTCGATGAATTTGTTCTTGGTTACCATTATGGAGGCCGAAGTAGAGTGACCTGGAGACCGTTGCGTATTTGGTATCTCATTGGGGTGGGGTGAGCTCTGGATTCGAGCAAGCCCCAAGGGTCTCGGGTAAGGTCTCATGATGTGGGCAAAAGGTAGAGTATAAAGGTGTGCTGAGTGGAAATTTATTGTTTCGCCTTCATTAGCTAAGTATCGGAGATATGATTCGATCTGCCATTCACTTCACCAATCACTCTACTTGTGCTCAACGGCCGTTAGGAACTGCCGGAGCTTGTTCACTTCACTGCCATTTTCACCGTCACAGCTCACTTCTATATCCTCCAGCGATTACTTTGTGATATTGTGCGTTGGAATAGATGTAGACTCGAGCATGATCCCCATTTCTAAGACAAGGTACATGTCGTCGTCTTCAGGGCCTGATGTTCAGGTAGTGGTAGGTGCCAAGACGGGATACATGAAGGTCGCTACGAATCGTACTAAAAGCTGTTGGAGAGAGGATATTGTGGCAAACGAGGAGAAGATATGGTAAACATTAAAGAATACTCGTGTCTTGGGACTCGAAAGTAGATGATGAAGCAGGGAGATGACATGTGACGAAACTTAAGCTTTCCATGGGCCTTCGCTAGCGCGTATCCATGCGGCGGATCTCCGAACATTTTCCTGAGCTTCTCCACACAACAACTTCGCGCTCACCAAATCGTCTCACGCAGGTCGCATGAGCTTTGAGATGGCGAAACGAAAGCGCGGCGATCGCGACGAGCGACCTCCTGCCGATGTTGGCCTCGGTGCGACATTGGCGCACATGCGCGGCGAAGCGCAACCCGACGATGCGACCACAACCGCAGCTAATGGTGACGAAGAGGGCTGGACAGTAGTCGGCGGAACGAAGAGGAGACGGAAGGAACGCGGCCCACATGACGACCAGAACAGGCATCGCGCCTCGAACTCGCCTCCATCAACTCGCAGTCCTGACCTTTCACAGCACACGAACGGGCAAGGCAAGCGGAAGGAGTCATCTCCACCACCGCAACAAGATGCTACTCTCGACAACCCGTTTGCGGGCAAAGGCGCGCAGCTGGGGACTCGAGCTTCTCCTACCGATAACCCCTTTGTCACATACAAAGCTGGCTCTGAACAGTCAAGTGAGAACATGACGAGAGAGGAACGTAGGAAAGAGCGCAAGCTGCAAAGGAGCTATCCGGCCATTGAGCATTCACATCATGCCCGTCTCAATTCGCACGTGAAGATTACAGACTTGCAGTCCTTGGTGCTCTACCTGCTTGCGGATGGTAATGCGCCGCAGTGGGTTTCTGTACGCAGCCGTGCAAATATCCAACAGGTCGTAATGCTCATGGTTCCGGGATTGGACCTGGGCATGTTCAACGGCGATGTTGCTTTGGATACCGCACCACAGTCTGAAACTTCTGCCGCAGCGTCAACAACCGAAACGGATGCAAAGCCCAAACGGCTGAACATTTCGCGTGATGACTTCTATCCGGCTAGTCTCAAGGCGGACAAATTACCTGCATCACTGAAGCCTCTCGCTGACATCTTTGAGCATGTGTGGCCTATCAAGGCGATAGGAGAGCATCGCAACAACCAATACATGAGGGTGCATTCACCCATTCATACCATGCTAACCTCACAAATCCCCAAGACTCAAGAAGAGAAGCAGATGAAGAAGACTGGGAACCACAAAGGTCCCACGCCGCAGAATTCAAAGCATTGGGAGAACAAGCGCACTCGCATTACCGAGTACATCGCCTCCCTCATGGAACAGCAAGAAAACGAATACGTACTGCATCCAGCTATGTTCACAACCTCAGAATCCAAAGAGGCCAACTACGAAAGAAGGAAACTGGCCCATCAGACTGCCGATGATGGTTGGGTCGATACTAGGGTCGCCACTTTAGAGGAAGGTGATGTGCCCGAGAGGGACATTGAACAAGGGAGCCTGACCGCTGGAAGACACATCATATCCGTCGACTGTGAGATGTGCAAAGCTGAGAATGACCAGCTTGTACTCACACGCATCAGTTTATTGAACTGGGACGGCAGCACGGCTCTCGACAAGCTTGTCAAGCCAGATGTCACCATTAAGGATTACCTGACCCAGTGGTCTGGTATTACAGCAGCCATGCTCCAAGATGTCACAACCACTCTAGCGGACATCCAGAAGGAGCTATTGGAACTGATCACACCGCGTACGATTCTCGTGGGACACTCGCTAAATTCCGACCTCAACGCACTCAAACTGACCCATCCCTTTATCATCGACACAGGCATCCTGTACCCGCACCCCCGTGGACCACCATACAAGCAGTCGCTGAAGTGGCTCGCGCAAAAATATCTCAAACGCGAGGTTCAGAAGGGATCATCAGGCCACGACAGTGTAGAAGATGCTCGGACATGTCTCGATCTAGTCAAACAAAAGTGTGAAAAGGGCCCGCGCTGGGGATCGGGCGACACAAACGCGGAGTCCATTTTCAAGAGGATGGATCGTTCCTTACGACCGAAATCCAACGACGCACATCGTGCCGGAGCTGTCATCGACTGGGGGGATCCGAACAGAGGCCATGGTGGTCAAGCTCAAGTTTCTATAGGCTGCAAGACGGATGCAGAAGTAGTAGAAGCTATTGATCGTACATTAAAAGGTCAAGCTGAAGGCAAGGATGGTACTACAGACAAGATTGACTTTGTCTGGGGACGCCTGCGTGAACTAGAGCTCGCAAGGGGTTGGTGGGACGACGCGAAGACAGCCGACGTTGAGCTCATCCGACAAAACGCTTTGCAACGACTGGGTCTTCTGAAGGATGGTGAAGACGTAGACGTGGAAGTTCGTGGATCTGAGCTCGGCGATGCCGTCTCCAAGACCATTGAGCGCATTGGGCAGATATACGACGCTTTGCCACGCTGCACGGCCTTTATTGTGTACAGTGGGACAGGCGATCCTCGAGAGATTCGTCGCTTGCAAGCAATGCAACAGCAGTATCGTCGCGAATACGCTACCAAGAATTGGGACAACCTTAGTGTCAAATGGACGGATACGGAGGTGCAGGCTCTTTCGAGAGCTTGTCAAGAGGCTCGCAACGGCGTGGGATTTATCGTTGTCAAGTAAAGCAAGAAGACCAATGCATCGCGCATGCGCGTACGACGTGCAACGCAGCGTGTCGTAGTACACGGTGTTCAGGCGCGTATCGCTTAACGGATACCTTCAGACAGTGTGGCGTGTAATGCGATCATCAAAATGCACGGTTTTAGAGGTTGAGCACTTTCTAGAACATGCATTGTGTTTTGCAATTATCGGTAGAAAGCATTAGAGGCGGATTACTATCGTGCCAAGGGTGTAGGTACTGCATGACATCAATCAACATCCCTGTCTGCGCTCCCCTTGCTTGAAGTTAAATTAGCGCAAAGCTTTTCGCCGCCTCCCATCGGGGCGAAGACTGCGGAAATTCAACTCTATAAAAGTATAATCCATTTCTGCCTGCGGGTAATAATGGCTGCCTCGACGTGTACTTGTTTCGGGCGGCGATCATTCCGGTATCATGGCAGCTACCGTACCATTTAGGACAATGCCGCTGACGAAGCCATGGACCGCAGTCAGGACAAATAGTCTAGCCAGACATAGTCACGCATGTAAACATGGGCGCCCATATAGCCCCGGATACTGTATTATCCTCGACTTACCTAGGTATTTATGCTTATTGGCCCATGCCGTGGATCGGACTTGGCACTTGTAATCGTCGCAATTTGATAGCAATAAAGATAGCCGGCGCGTGGTCCGGGATGAGTAAACTGCCCCATCGATGATACCTACCAATAATTGACATGCAGTAACACAAGCCCATGCCTGTACAAGTCGGCACATGCGTGCATTGGACAGTGAGTAATTACTCATATCCGTCGACAACAGGAAATCACAGCTGGAAAGCTCAGGACTGCACTCACACGAGATGGAACAGCTAGCGTGTTGAGCTTGCGACACGAGACGGCTTCAGGGCTTTTTCGCAATAGAGCCATCTAAATTGATAGCGAGGCACGCTAACTCCACTCGGACTCATGCATGGCTAATCATGGAATAACTCCTGCTAATTATTTCACTTGCCCTTTCCTTCCTCTGAACTAGCTCTCGACTTTCAGGGTTCCTCCTCCGCCGCAACCGCCTATTTTTTGTTGGGTCATACCATTCTCTTCCTCTTCGCTTCCAATCTCACTGCGCTTGCTGAAACGGTATCCTGGATTGGGACGCGTATATTTGTCGCGTACCAGAAAACCGATAGTCCTGCTTACCTGGGTACACATTCCATCGCCAAACTTTTAGTTGTTGCTATCTAGACTCTTCGTGCAGCATCTCCGCTCACTTGCAGTTCTCCGCAAGGCACAACTGGGTCAATGGGCTGTGTCCATGGCGGGCTCCAGGCGATCCGGCACTGGTGAGATGAATCCAGACAGGGGAACACATGAACTCCAATCATCCATGGCTCAGCCGCTGGCAGTTGAGGTTGCGGAAAGTGCTGATGAAGCATCTCCACGTTCGCCGCCAGTCAATCGTGCGACCAAAGCATTCTGTAAGAATTGCAAGAACAACGTAGGAGACTTTTACAACTCCTGGTACAAGGTCACCGGTAGCTACTACGTCCCTGCGCTTCTGGGCTCTTACAGTTCTACCTTGCAACCCATGGGCAAATTAAAAGCGGCGTCAAAGGGCACCGAATTAGCAGGATGGTAAGCTCAATCCTATCCTCACGTTGGTCCTCTCTTCGCATCTGTTTGCCGCATCTTTCCCTCATATACCCTTGACCGGCTATCAACGAACTCTTAACACATGAGTGGGCTTATCCCGGCTGCAACGGGTTACACGGTATTTTAAGTTTCTACCTTTAAGCGTACCCACGCTAGTCGTACCAAATCTTTTCACACTATAGATTAACATCTATCAAACCGGTCCGCCCGCATTCTACATCCCGCATTCCGTATTATTGTTCCTTCAAACTCCCCAAGGCTTCTGGACTGACTTCGTACCAGTACCATTCAGCCTTTGTCTTGTCCCCACTCTAGTTGTCACAAGATTGCCATCGGGTTTACTGTTATCACTGCACCGGCAGGAAAGGGATCTTTTCGGTAAGTGGCATCACCCATAGATGTTGCAAGTTTCCGCATGTTTTTGCATACTTATTCCCAATTTTCATGGTGAAAGTCATCGGCATTCATTAGCATGATGGCTGACATGCGATTCGTTACAGTGGACGAGACTTCTTCAAGCTGGGTCGCATCGAATTGCAATGCGAAATAGCAACAAATCAATTCATTGTGGTCGAACCTGAGATCGACACCTCATCGGATTTGCTAGCGAATGAAGATACACCCAGTCCGTCCTCGTCGGTTGCAACACCAAACGCATTGTCGGCTGAGGCCATGGAGATCGACTCGCGTGCACCATCTGTGGAGCATGCAGATCAATTTCGCGGTCGGTACGAGCAATCTCAGGATCGTGACATATTACAACAGCAACCGTTGCAGCCTATCGAAGGCAGCAGGCAGTCAGTAATAGCACCACCGTCCAGGCACTCCCCTTCGATACGAGATTCTCCATACGTCGTGACGAAAGATATGACAAAAGGTTCACTGCAGTCGTCTTCATCCTATCACCAAGGGGCTCATGGGTCTCGTAGAGGACCTGACGTTGACTCAACGAGCGGTCAGTTTGGAGCTCCAACACTGACGCCTCAAGACCGGTCTACTATAGAAAAGCCTCAAACAAACGGCCATCAGTACCCTCGTTTACCACAGGATGTCGGTATAGACGCTATGGCGCGTCTACAGACGCAGATGTCTCAAAATAGTGGTGCCTTAGCTGCGCACACTCGCGACATAAGAATCGGCCAGGAGGCGGTTGGAGCAATGGAAGAAACAATCAGAGAATTTCAGGCCAAGTTCATTCGACAAAGTGCCGATATCCAAAGAATCGAGATGCTGGCTACGAGGCTCCAGAGCGAGATGCAGGGCATCCGCCATACGATGGAATCCATTACCCATGAGTTACAGGCAAGTCGGATGCAGAGACAGTCAGCTAACTCGGCTGTGCCTCCTGCGGCCCCGTCTTTTGCGGCTCAAAGTTCAGCAATGGAGCTTCTCGCGCGGCAGTTGAATGAAGTGTCGCATAAGACGAGTGACCTAGACAACTTGAAGCTCCATGTCGAAATCATGAAGGATAAAATCTATCGACTCGAAGAGCGCGCCGCACCCGAGCCTTCACAAGCACCGCCATCTATATATCAGACGCCACAAGTATCAGTGGCGCAGCCTTCTCAACCTGCTCCTACCGCCGCTACATCACACCAAAGTACACCAACATTGACGCCGAGTAACAGAGCATCTCAGCCCATATCTAATGCTCAGTCTCAGCAGTCTTCATTCGGAGCTCCTTCGACAACGGCTGCCATACCGGGTGTCCAGCCTACAAGTAGCCAGGCTAGTGGATGGGCTACTGTTAATGCAGGTGTGAAACGGACTCATCAGAATGGCGTTGAGACTCCCCAGGGAAGCAATGTTCATGCGCCCGAACCTACCAAAAGGCAGAGATTAGTGGACGATGGTACTTCGGGCTACACATCTTCACAGCAAACACCTATGACAGACCATCGCTTCCAAACATCTACGCATATAATACCATCTCAGCAAACTGTTCCCGAATCAACGCATGGATCGCAATCGCAACAATCATACCACGTCCCATACGCCACACAAGATGGTCCTTCGGACGCCAGTTGGCAACCCGAATCTCAGCGCACGATCGAGCATCGACCGCGTGGGCGTCCACGTGGTAGCGGGGGTCCTGGAAGCCGAGGAGGTAGAGGTAGAAAGAGCATGCCAGCCCAGCTCCACAGTACACTCGGAACACCTGAATGGGAAAGGGATGATTGGCAAGGTGTTCCCGATTCGCAGACCAGTCCAGCTGGATACTACAACCACGTAGGGCAACCAGGACGTGGAGGCATTACACGCCGCGGCAGTGGTGGCGGTGGTCGTGGCGGCTACGCAACCAGCGACCGTGCTAGCAGTCTAGGTCTACAAGGTGTGACTGGTGCTATGAGCTTTGGATCGCCCGGCGACCCATATGGGTCGGGAAAGAAGACGCGCACCAAACCCATTAGGAACGCAGATGGCGTGTTGATACGCAAAGATGGCCGGCCAGATATGCGTTCGCAATCTTCTGCGGCTAATCTCCGCAAAGTACACGAGCGCAAAGACGGTCAAGCAAGTCACTCACCTACAGGCTCGAGCTTCACGCCTACCAACCCCCAATACGCGATTTCGGCACAGGCGCCAGACACACCAAGCCCAAGTGGCTACGCTGCCGACCCAAGCGCGACCGATAAACACAACGCAATAATGGGTAAGATGTTTCCTGATGGTATCGACGCAGCGCGAAGGAAACAAGACTATACACGTCAAGTTTTTGAAGAGAATCGCGATCATACCGCGCATCCACGATCGCGGAACAGTGGCCCGGCAACGAGGACGGCGGTTCAGATTAAGAAGGAGCAAGTCGACCGGAACAGAATTTCTAGGACGCGAAGTCCGCAAGAGCAAGACGCAGACGTAGATATGGATGGAGCTGAGGATCATGCGGATGATGAGCGTCAGACATCTGATGAGGGTAGCAGTCATGTCAGAGGTGGTGTGCAGTCGGAAGTTCAGACTCAGGATGCGACTATGCAGGAGAATAGCAGCACCCAAGCTCCTTCACAGACTGTTCTAGAGACGCAGGCCGTCGATAGCTCGGTTACGATTGGAGCGGGGTCTACCCAGACTCAGTAGCGAGATGGGACCGTGATAAAGGTTGGAGCCATAAATTTTATTTCTTTGGCATTGTATATTAATCATTGGCTCACCAGTAGCATTCCCTCACCCAAAGAAGCTTCTTTTACAATACCTGATCAGTTCCGGTACGGAGACACCCATGCCTCTAGCCAGCGTCACGTCACAGACATTGATCTCATCTATGTGCATATATACGAGACTAACTGCCGATTCTCATACATATCGTAAAGGCGAATCCCAAACTTGAATCGACGTGCTAGTGAGATTGTCTCTAATTACATATTTTTGGATAATCGCTAGAATACATTTTTAACACTGTACGTGTTCTTAGAACGGAACTACAGGAGCCTTCTCTGACCCGTTAGTCCTCTCTGGGTAGTGAATTGCGCCTTCTGTGGTAGCGCAGTTGGTGAGGTAGCTAGCGGAAGCATTTACAGGAATAGCGTTGCCTTCCTGGGGGCGACCATAGACCTGTTCGTACATTAGCACCGATTGCAAATCGACGGATACTTGTTCAATGGAATACTTACATGCTCGTAGTACCAAACCTCGCTCAGGATAGTGTAACCCCTGTCAGTCGTGTTCTTTCCAGCCTCTGTCGCATTGTACCTAGGACCAGAGCAACCCAAGAAGGGAATGCCGCCATGCTGCTCATGCAGCACGTCGACGAGATCGGAGTAAGAGTAGGTGGTTGAGTTTGAGGGTGTGATATCCTTGGCGGCAAGCCAATCGAAAGTCGGGAACCTCTTGTAGTACTTGATAGCCGTCTCGAAAAAGTCAACAACATCTTCGTGCTCGCGGTACTGCGGACCGTAGCAGGGAACGTTGAAGGTAGAAAAGCAGGTTGCGTGCTTGGAGAACTCGTGGCCCCAGAAACCTGGATTGTCTTGCTGCCATGCGATCCAGTAAGTGTTCATGTATTCGAGTAGGTCGTAGCGACCAAACGGCTCGAGGAAGGTGCCGATGTTGGAGCCGTTATACGGGGGAACAAATGTTCCATTTGGTAGACTGTTGGTGGTGTTCGGGCTGGGGATAGGATCGTATTGGCGGCTCAAGTCGCAGTATTGCGTATAACTACCGTTACAGAAGTCCGGCCATAGACCATGGAGGGTCCATGTGTCGGTGGGCAAGAGTTGGCCTTCAGACTCGCGACCGGTGTACGTGTTCCAGAATTGGGTGCTTAGCACAAGTCCACCAAAAGTCTCGACACAGCAGGAATCGACAATGGACGGGTCTTGCGAAGGGCAAGACAGCAATGGCTCTTGTAGCTGGCATGTGTGGTTTAGGGGACTTTGGTTGGGATAGAGCTGTGCATTTGTCGTAGTCGCAAGCAGAGCCGCAGCTCCGGCCTTGGAAAAAGCAGCCTTCATGTTATCTTAACTTTGGAGCTACAAGACGAATTGGAGAAGAGGTATACTGCGATGGGAAACTCGATGATGCTGGGAAGCCGGCCATCTATAAAGCTCCCAAAAATTTGGCCACGGCCTACCCAGGCCGCTGCAGCCCCAGTCGGTCCTTACCATATGCAGAAGGTACATTTCCCAGACTTCTGGTTAGAGCTCCGACGGCGGCGATGAGCGAAAGATTCACAGTACCTGCATGTAAGCTAGACGCGCTCACGTGTCGGTCCCATTGGTAGATAAGAGAACAAGGCTACGCATGCCGCGCCGTGGTGCTTGTACCCACTTGAGCAGTCTCCGAGGCCACGCATGATGGTGGAGGTGCGCGTTGAGATATGAGATTGGTGGGTAGAGTCAGCCACAATGACGGCTTCTGTTGGCCGATGCAGCAAGAGTTGGGAATTGCATATCGAAGGATGGCTGGGACAGAACGTGGGTGACAGGGTCTGGCTTGGTTGGACCTGCTCGATGACGCCCCACAACCAAAGGCGCATCCAAGGCGACGGCTGCATCGACACTGCTCAAAGGACAGTGAAAGCGTCAGTAGACGACCTGGAGGCTTCTCAGCGCTGCCCTACATGCTCGAAACCCCAGCAGCGCCTCCAACGGCATAACGGGCCAACTCGCGCTCCGGTGGGCGTTCGCTATCTCCGCCTCCACATCCGCCCTTCGTCGTCATTGCATCAGCGACACGACACACAACCATGCGCGCCTACCTCAAGCCCTTCCTAACCTCGCGCCGTTTTTTAGGCACTACAGAACAGCGAGAATGCCTCCCTCGTCCTCCATAACTGCGTTACCGCCACACAGGCCAGATGCCTACACCACAGGCCATCACATCGGCAAGCCACCCACAAGCTTCAAGAACCCATGGCCCTCGTACAAGAACGACGGCATAATCACCGCTCTCCGTGCGCGCTTCAACACCCCAAAGAACTTCGTCCCTGTGCCCGCCGATCGCCTAGGCCTGGTCCAAGTGCGCAAGCCCGACTTCAACAATACGATCAACGGCTTGAAGGCGACATGGATAGGACATGCGAGTTTCCTGATTGAGACAACGGCTTCAGAGGGGAACGAAAGGGGTATGCGCATCCTTCTCGATCCTGTATGGAGTGACCGCGTAGGACCATATGGCATGGTCGGCCCCGTGCGCTTTACACCTCCACCATGCACCATCGATGAGTTACCTGAAATCGATGCTGTTTGCATAAGCCACGACCACTATGACCACCTCGATTCTGACACGCTGAAGAAGTTGAATGCGAAGCAGAATGGAGACTTGCGCTTCTTCTGCGCTTTGGGCGTCAAGACCGTCCTAACAGGGCTCGGCGTAGGCATCAAGGCCGACCAAGTCGAGGAGATGGACTGGTGGGACGGCATAACAATGTTCAAAAAGGGTGTAGGAGGCGCCGAACTGATATGCACACCCGCCCAACATCGATCTGGGCGTACGCCGTGGAATTTCGACGGTACACTGTGGTGTAGCTGGATCATCAAAGAGCCTTCTTCGTCCGGTAAGAAAGTCTTCTTCGCCGGGGACACGGGGTATTGTCATGTTTTGTCTGACGACCAATACTCGCACCACAACGCGCCACATCCACCTTGTCCGGCTTTCAAGGAAATCGGCAATTTATACGGTCCCTTCGATCTAGCGCTTGTGCCTGTTGGTTGCTTTAAGCCAAGGTCTGTCTTGTCTGGTCAACACTCTAGTCCGCAGGACTCTTTGGCTATACATAGGGATGTGAAGAGTAAGAAGAGTATAGGCATGCATTTTGGTACGTTCCGTGGTGCATACTCGGCGAGCTACGAACCGGTTACTGAGCCGCCTGAACGCTGGCGGAAGGGTGCAGAGGCGGACGGTTTAAGGTGGGGAGTCGATGTAGACCTCTGTGATATCGGCGGGACGGTCGTGGTGTAGCAATGCGGGACTTGGTACGGTAACTATGTGCTTCTTCGAACTTCTCTTACTCGGATTCATTAATATACCACCTTGTGCCCCTTGCGCTCATTTGGTCTAAACCTCGAAATGGGTTCCACTACATTAAAGAGAGAAACTGAACATCTCTTCAGAGCAAAACACTATTGATATTATGGACGTGCTGGTGATAAGACGCAGGCACAACGCTGTCGAGTTACACTGTATTGTATCGCAGTAGAAGTGTGTTCCCAAACACTCATTTGGCTTTACTATATGCAGCTGTATACAGAGCAAAGTACTTATACCTGCTACAATAAAGCGTATTAAGAGCTTCCAGACATAGATAGAGAATCTAGACATAGATAGAGAATCTAGACATAGATAGAGAATCTAGAAGTCTACAATGCTATTAATCTTTCTAGAATTTGTTCTGAGAAGCTAACGTAGGCGGCAAACTAGGGCATGTTATTCCTATGCCCGTTCAAGTTTTCTATTGTATACGGTGGTTCTGTTCATGATGCATGGAATAGATGAAAGTGATTCGAAAAATGCATTATGTCTATCCTCATGACGGAGGAAAAGTACCATCATGATTACTCATACAAAGCCAGTAATACCTTCTAATGCATATACATAAACAACTCTCGACGGACCGCAAATGGCGCCGTCTAGTTGTATTGCATGTAGGCCACCTCTTAATTGTACTGAGCGTACACTGCAGTGCTGTTGAACTTCATGTTGGCTTTGATCACCTTGTCCACAGCGGCGAGAAAGTCCTTCTCGGTGGCAACCTTTCTGCGACTGCGGATGGCGAACATACCAGCCTCTGTAGCTACACTCCTCAACTCGGCACCTGTGCTGTTGGGACAGAGACGAGAGATGAGCTCCCAACGGATGTCGCGCTCTACACTCATGCTCTTGGCGTGGATACGGAGAATGTTGGCACGACCTTCCATGTCGGGTAACGAGAACTCGATCTTTCGGTCAATACGTCCCGGACGCATGAGGGCAGGGTCGAGGGTTGAAGGTCTGTTGGTCGCGAACATGACCTTGATGTTGCCGCGAGCGTCGAAACCATCAAGTTGTGTAATGAGTTCCAACATAGTACGCTGTACTTCGTTGTCGCCTCCAGCACCGTCGTCGAAACGAGCGCCACCAACGGCATCGATTTCATCGAAGAAGATGATACACGCCTTCTTTGTTCGCGCCATCTCAAACAGCTCGCGCACCATCCTCGCTCCCTCTCCAACATATTTCTGAACAAGCTCGGATCCGATGACTCGGATAAAGGTGGCGTCGGTTCGGTTGGCAACAGCTCGGGCGCAAAGCGTCTTTCCGGTTCCAGGGGGACCGTAGAGAAGAGCACCCTTGGGCGGGTCGATACCAAGGTTGACGAAGCGCTCTGGTGACAGCAGCGGCATCTCGACGACTTCTCGTAGCTTCTCAATCTGCTCTTTGCAACCTCCGACATCTCCATAAGTGACATCAGGCTTGTCCTCGACCGTCATCATAGTAACCGAAGGGTCGATCTTTGGCGGTAGGGGAAGCAGAATCTGGTATTTGTTCCGGTCGACACCTACCCGCATGCCCTCCTCGATATCGGTGGGTGAGACGCGTTCTCCGAGGTTGACGACGAACTTGGCGATCTGCTTGACGTTGATGACATATTTGCTCTTCTCTGAATCCTTCTCGTCCTGTATTATCTTGGTGCATCGTGCGACCTGAAGTGGTTGCTCTTCTTGCATCCGTTGGCGGTCGGCGGCGATATCCCAGAGATGTGGAGGTGCGAGACCGGTATCTGATTCCTGGGGGAGTCAGCAGAGCATGGCCAGAGAGTTGAGAGGGACACATACTTTGACGCCAATCTTCTCGTTTATCGTCTGTTGCTTGTCCTTGATCTCCTTCTCCAGCTTCTTGAGTTCAGCGCCATAGGGTGCCGCTCCGTATGTCTTCAACACCTGAATGTCCCTATCACGTCATTAGCCCATGTTTACGTTGCTGTCTTCTCGCCTCTTACTCGTCAGTCAGAGGTGTGATATTCTTCTCCTCAACCTCGTCGTCGGCGAAGTTCTTCTGGTACTTCTCCCAGGACTGGCCTGTGGCTGAAGGCATGTTGACGGTGTAGGCGGCGACTGTCAGGCGGCCAAGATGGTGTTGGGACTATGCGTGTGGTGGAAGTGCGAATGAATCCGGGTGGAAGCGACAGGCGGAGCAGATGCGGTGGTTCGGGTGAGTGTATGGGGTTGGTTGTTGTGTAATGGGTGAAGGTGTAGCTGTGATGCGGCAATGGCCCGGCGAGTCGGAGCTTGTGGATTGGCCGTGCGCTACGTCTATCGCGTTCTCGAAATATTGTCAGTTCGCGTCCAGGCACCACAACTTCCCCGCCAAACCTTCACGATACCCCTCTTTTAGCTTTGTTCTTGCTGTATACCGAAACATGGCTGCTCAAGTTGCAAACGGCGGTACCGGTGGCGGTAACACTGCCTTCAAGGTGCGCTGCGATGCTGAGCTATGAAAACATTGACTGACATTGAGCCAGGACAAGGAGAAGCCCAGAGCTGTTCGCAGCGCCAACATCATTGCCGCAAGAGGTACGCAGCTCGAATATGCTTGTTCAGAAGAGTTTCGCTAACGTCTATTGTACAGCTGTGGCAGATGCGATCCGAACTGTATGTCCCACCATGAGGTGCGGGGAAGAACCAAATACTAATGCTTCGGTAGTCGTTGGGACCAAAGGGCATGGACAAGATGGTAAGAGAAGGCGCAATTCTCCGCCTACCATAGCTGACTCGTTCAGATCCAAACCGCCAGAGGCCAGACCATCATCACAAACGACGGAGCCACCATGTTGAACCAGATGAGCGTTATGCACCCCTCCGCGAAGATGCTCGTCGACCTCGCACACGCCCAAGATATCGAAGCTGGAGATGGTACAACATCGGTTGTCGTCATTGCTGGAAGCCTGTTGGGCGCCGCTGAACGGTTATTGGGCAAGGGCATCCACCCTACAGTCATATCAGAGGCTTTCCAGCGCGCTGCGCAAGAGGCGATA